ATGCACTGGTAATTACTGACGATTGGAATGTGAAACTCGGAAACAGAGGAATGAATGGTAGTTGGAAAATATGATCTTGGTGATAGAAATTAAGCTGGAGATAACATGATAGAATTTTGCAAGACCAATGACTGAGTCATTGCAAATACCCTTTTCAACAACATCAATGGCAGCTATACACTTGGACCTCACTAGATGGAATACACAGGGATCAAATTGACTATATACATATGTGGGAACGGATGATGGAAAAGCTTAACACAAGGCCAGAAACTGACTGTGGAACAGATCATCAATTATTCATATGGTAAAGAAAATAAAAACAAGTCCACAAGAACCAAAATATGACCCTGAGTATAACCCACCAGAATTTAGAGACCATTGAGGAACAGATTTTATGCATGAGACACTAATGACCAGAGGAGTTGTGGAATGACATCAAGAACATCACACATGAAGAATATAAAAGGGCTTTAAAAGACAGTAAAGAATGAAAAGACCAGCGTGAATGTTAGAAGAGACTCTGAAACTTTCTCTTGAGAGCAGAGAAGCTAAAGTGACAGGAAGAAATGAAGAAGTCATAGCACTGAACAGAAATTTTCAAAGGGCAGTTCAAGAGAACAAAGTCAATTATCATAAGGAAATGCATTTAGAAAAACAAAAGGCAATCATACTCTCAGCATTTTTTTTGAAGCTGAAAGAACTGCAGACTAAATTCCAGCCTTAACTTGAAATATTGAAGGATTCTAAGGGCAAAATCTTGAATGATGCAGGAAACATCAAAAGAAAATGTAAGAGCCTTTTTATAAAGATGGTGCACAAAGTGAAGAAGAAAGTCCCTTCCCATTCCAAAACTGAAGCCAAAGCAAAGGCATTGAAAGCCCAGAAGGCAGTGCTGATACGCATCCACAGCCACAATAAAAAGAAGGTCCACATGTCATCCACCTTCCAGCAGCCCAAGACACTGAGGCTCCAAAGGCAGCCCAAATATCCTTGGAAGAGAGCACCCAGGAGAAACAAGCTTGACCACTATGACTTCAACAAGTTTCCTCTGACTACTGAGTCAGCCATGAAGAAGATTGAAGATAACAACACATTTGTGTTCATTGTGGATGCTGACGCCAACCAGCACCAGATCAAACAGGCTGTGAAGAAGTTCTTTGACACTAACATAGCCAAGGTCAATCCCTTGATCAGGCCTGATGGAGAAAAGAAGGCATATGTTTAGCATATATCCTGACAATGATGCTTTGGATGTTGCCAACAAAATTGGGATCATCTAAACTGAGTCCAGCTGGGTAATTCTAAATCTAATTTTTAAATATAAAAAAAGAGAGAAAATGGAAGGAATATAGAGTCACTGTGCCAAAAATAACTGGTTAAAGTTCAACCATCTCAAAAGATGTGCCTGTCCTGAGACATGCTATTTTCAATTGACTCATAATTGTGAAAGCTGGACAATGAATAAGAAAGCCTCCTTAGAAGAATAAATGCATCTGAGTTATAGTGTTGGCAAAAAATACCAAAAATACCATGAAATGCCAGAAGAATGAACACATCTTTTTAGAAGAAGTAGGCCAAGATTGCTTCTTAGAAGTTAGGATGATGGGACTTCATCTCACATACTCTAGATATGTTGTCAGGAAGGACCAGACCTTGCAGAAGGACATCATGCTTGGTAAAGTAGAGGATCAACAAAAAAGGTAGAAAACTCCCAATGAGTTGGATTGATCATTAGCCATTTGTTATTTAACCTATCCTCATTTGCTTGCCAAAAAAAAAAAACCTTATCTCTAGCAATAAAATAGAATTTTAACAGAGCCCTGGCTGCCAATATAATCTGTAGAAACCTAAAGCCTCTCCAGGGTATTGGTAACATTCAAAGCAGCAGACACCTAGTCTAGTAAATTCTAGTATCTGAGCCAGATTCAACTCAATCCACAGTTTATGACATTTAGTTCCCATATTTGCATGGTCTTCTTTCTGTCAAAATTCTATATTTTCTATCTTAATTTTCAAAACAAATTTAGATTTCAGATTCTAAGAATAGACTAGCTTTAAGAGTATGTACCAAACATTCAGGAA